GAGTTTGTGAGAGTGCGATTTGGTCTTGCAGAAATTCCCAAATATCTTTCATGCTTTATATCATATCCTTGTGTTCCTGTGGCGCTATTTGGAACTCGCTGTTCTTAATATCAAAACTAATTCTTGGCTCGAATCCCTTATTTGCAAAGAATGGACTGATTTTTGTAGAGTCTTACGGTAGAGCATTTGCTGCAAATTCTGCCATGCAAAGATATTCGACCCAGTTGTCTTGGAGATAGTTAACATAAGCTTGTAAATATCGTTCGAGTTCTGCATTGAACCTCTCAGTTTGCCCATCCGTTTCTGGGTGGAAGGCAGTAGACAATTTTGTTATAACTTTCCAAACTTTGCAGAGGATTTTTCACACTGCAGCCACGAACTGGGGGCCTCTGTCTGAGATGATCGAATTTGGTAAACCATGGTGTTTCCATACATGTCGAAGGAGTAGCTGTGCTGTTGCTTCTGCAGTTGTGCATTCTTGGCCTGCAAAGCATGGGATAAAATGGCATTCTTTTGTAAGTCAGCATGCTACGACAAGGATAGCATTGTTTCCTTCACACAATGGCAATCCTGTAATAAAGTCGAGTGATATGTCCTGCCATGGCTGGCTGCCAACAGGGATTGGTTGAAGAAGTCCATTATAAGCATCTCTTGTAGGTTTTGATCTTTTGCAGATATGGCAGTTCTTGATGTATCGTATAATTGTCTTATTCATCTGGGGCCAGTAATACTGTCTTTTGATGACCCGAATCATCTTCCCAATGCCAGGGTGTCCCATTGCTGGTTGGTCATGAATTTCTTGTAAGAGTTCGACATGAGTACTTTCTGGAACCCAGACTCTATTATGATAATATAAGAGCCCTTCCTTCACCTCGTAATATGCTAGAGCTATGTCTGGACTGTTTCGTTCTCCATTCTGAAGCTTCTGAATAGTGTCTTTGCATAAGCTGTCTTGAAGTTGTGCAGTTTGGATTTTGTCTAGAATACTTGCTTCCTGTAGGTGGACTGGCGCGAGTTGGATGTCTTGATTCACCTTAGCATCTTCGAATTTCCTTATCTCTTGGAGGTCTGGATGGAGTCTCTTGAGTGGTAGCAGGGTTTGAAGTTGTTGTTTTTGGCGGTCATCTTCTTCGTTCCCTTCTGGTCTATCTCCCGGTCTTCGAGTTAATGCATCTGCTTTTCCGTTCTGTTTCCCAGGTCGATATATAATTTGAAAGTTAAACCTTGACAGAAACTCAGCCCATCGAGCTTGCCTTCGAGTAAGCTTCTTTGTTGTCATGAAGTATTCAAGACTCTTGTGATCTGACAAAACTTGGACTGGCATTGCTGTGCCCTCGACTTCTAGTCTCCATGCTTCGAAGCATCTGATGATGGCGAGTAACTCCTTGTCATAGATTTCGTAATTGCATTCTACAGGTGCCATCTTTTTCCAGAAGAATGCAACTGGATGTAGGATTCCCTTGTCATCTTTCTGTGACAGTACCCCTGAGGAAATAAAATCTGAGGCATCAGCCTCAACATAGGCTGTCTTCTCTCTATCGAAATGTCGTAAGACTGGGGCTTCTGTGACAGTCTTTTTCAGAAGTGTGAATGCTCCCTGCATGCTTCTGTCCATTCGAAGACATGGTCTTTTTTTGTTAAGTTGACGAGTGGTTTCATGATGTTTGAATAGTTCTTGATAAACCTTCGATAGAACACACAGAATCCGATAAAAGCTTGCGTGTCCCATATAGTGTTCACCTTTCCAGGATCCATGCGAATTCCATTAACTCCAATGATGAGTCCTAAGAATTTTGTCTCTTGAACGAAGAATTCGCATTTTGCTATATCTGCTTGTAGTCCTGCTTCTTGAAGCTTTTGTAGAACCATTTTGACATGCTCATGTTCCTCCTTACTTGTGCTATAGACAAGAAGATCGTCCATGTATGCAGTGACAAATTTGTTTATGTATTCCATTAATGTTTCATTCATATATCGTTGGAATGTTGCTGGGCCATTCGTAAGTCCAAATGGGAGAACTTTGTATTTGTATGATCCAAATCGAGTTTTGAATGTTGTCAGATCTTCGTCCTCCTCTGTCTGCATGCGAATTCGATTAAAGGCATGTCTAATATCAATCTTTGTAAGATATTTGGCACCTGTGATCGAGGCAATGTTTCATCAATGAGGGGAAGTGGGTATGAGTCTTTCCTTGTGATCGCATTTAGTTTGCGATAGTGTACGCAAAATCGAAGTCCACCTCCTGGTTTGCGTACAAATAACACAGGTGAGGCAAATGGTGCTTTGCTAGCTTCGATGAATCCTTTGGTAAGATTGTCCTCCACGTATTTCTTCACAAGATCAAGCTCTTCTCAAGACATGTTATAGAGTGGTGCATGCCCTAGTTTCCAGTTCCCTTCTAACACAATGTGATGGTCTGCATATCTGTGAGGCGGAAGTTTGTCTGCAGCCTGTTTTGAGAACACATCGAGATATTTATGGAACTCCTTTGGGAGGATCAGTTTTGGGTCGATTTCGTTTCCTCCTTTGCTTGTTCAGCGAGTATATCTTTAAATGATACTGCAAAAACCTTAGCTCCTTTCTGCTTCCGAAGCATATTGAATGGTGCAGCTCCAATCATTGTAACAGTGCATTTGTTCTTGTTCTTATAATGAGGTTGGAGGGCTGGCTTCGGAGCTTCTTTATCTTGTATTTCCTTCTCAGCTTGGGGACTTGTACTTTTCACTTTTAAAGTGTCTGTTGGTGTAGTGTGCTGGCAGTGACCCTTTGTAAAGATGACTTGGTCGTTTACCATATTGAGTGTGACTCCATGCTGCTTCATCCAAGCTTTCCCAAGAATGATAGACTGTTTCCCAAGAGTAGTAATGAATAGAGGGCATAGACTTTCAACGTGATCTCCAATTTGTAGTTGAGGGTATATAGCATGCTGCAACTCCATTAAATCCTTCAATGTTCTTTGGTTTTATAAGTTGGATAGGAGAGATGTTTTCAATTTCACAAATTCGTTTTGCGTCAACAGCATTCACAAAGCTTCCACCTGTTGCACCACTATCCATTAAGGCTTGCATGACAATTTGATTCCTTCCTATTCTGCAGGTAGCTAAGAATGGAGTGTCATAGTCGAATGGGATAATGATGAGGCAGAGGAGGCAATTCTTGCTGTAGAACCTCTAGCGATGTCTTTTCTAGAGGCTATTCTTTTCCCGACTCATACTGGGTAGAATCCTCAGTAGCAGAGATCTCATTGAGTCTGCCTTTCTGTTTCTGAGGGCAGTCATGAGCATGATGGCTGCTTTCGTGGCAATGGAAGAATTTGCCAAGCTTCATGAGCGATTCTTTCTCAGGATCTTGGTGGGGAGAGCGGTAGAGCTTCTTCTGTGGTGCCACTATTTCAACAGCAGTACTAGCAGTAGGGCTCTGGCCACTCTGCTTCTGGTAGGCAAACGGCTGTGGCTTCATTCTCTTCTCCTTTTCTTGAATTCTCTGTAGGTTTTGGTCCACAAGCATGCATTTCTTCGTGAATTCATGTAGGGTGGTAGCTCCCACTTCTGCAACAAGGGCTTTCTGCATGCCTTGGTTGATTTTAAATCGGAGATCGTCAAGCAAGGTCTCTTCTGAGTAGTCCAGCTCTGCAGTGAGTCTCTGGAATTCAGCCCAGAATGTTGTGAAGGTATTCTTGCCTTGGTATAACTTGCGATACTCAGTTTGTGCAGTGTGTCTCCTATTGGGGTCGCTAAACACTTTCTTGAGGAGTTGGAGGATTTCTTCTGCTGACTAAAGCATGTTTGGTGAGGTAATGCGAAGCCTTGGGTTCACATGGCAAACTGCAAGTCCTCCTAGTCTGCTTTGGAGATAACTCATCTGCATCTTGTCATTTGGGAAGTGGTCGATGTTGGCTTCCAGCTTGAGTCGGATCTTCACAACCCAGTCTTCAAAAGCTGGTTCAATCCCATCCGTAAGAATAGGAGGATCCGGAATGCGAGCAGACTGGCGAGGTGCTGCATTGCGAATAGGAGCTGTATTCTCAAGATATTTTTGAATGCCTTGCAGTTCAGTAATCTTTTCATCCTTGTCTTGAATTTCTTCTTGGAGCTGTAGAATAGCATCATTTTGCTCTGCAATAGTAGCATCAGAAGCTTGACTGACAATGAGGTAGTCCTTCATAATGACTTTCAACATTGACCAGGCATACTCTTGGCTGCTAGATGACAGCTTTTGGAATTCAGTGTAGGTGTTGACATTCCAATTCCTCATCTGGTGGCCGTTTGATAGTATAGACTGGTGTCTTTCTTGAGCTGTTTTGTCCATCCTCTTGAAATCTTCTTGGGCTTCGAGGAAGTCATCTTGAAGTTCATCTCTCTTCTCAGACTCATCTGCCAAGGTTGTTTTCTCATTTATAGACTCATAGTCTTCTGGGTTTCAGTCAGCCATCTTGACCTTTTCTTTGGCTGTGTGTGCCATAGCAGCTTTGCTATTCTTTCAGTTTTCGTATTCAGTAGATCAGACTCATATCGCCAAAGGCCCTATTGCGCAGTTTGTCGACTGTAGGAGCCACTCGAGAGGAGCGCACTTCCCTCACAGCTATATTCCTTGTCGAGGGAGCGTTGTGAAAGGTCTGATCTATGAAGTCTGTGGTGTTCTGGTGTTTCTGGTGTGTTCTGTGGTGTTCTGGAATCGACTTTAGGATATGGTTGTAGGGTTTCCAAAGAAGGGAATTCAAATTTCAGTATCAAGGTTCAGGCTCAGAGAGCAAAAGAAAGGTGAGATTCAATCTTATGTTACGATGGTCATGGAGGTCAAGAAGCCAGTCCGGAGAATAATAGGCTAGATTGAATCTAAAGAGAGGAGAAGAAGAAGAAGGAAGGAAGGTGAGGCTATTCCTCATAGTATACAGTTGTCTGCTTAGCAGTTGTAGCCTTGGTGGCTAAGGCTGCACCCGTAACAACCGTAACAACCGTAACAACCGTAACAACTGTAACAACCGTACCAACCATAACAACCATAACAACCATAACAACCATAACAACCATAACAACCATAACAACCATAACAACCATAACAACCATAACAACCATAACAACCATAAGCTATAATCGTTAGGAGCTGCAGGATGAGAGGGATGTTGTGCAGCAGGTAGAGCAAGCAGGAAATAAAAAGGCAAGTAGTAGTCGGAAGCCAAGGGAAGAAACGCGTGCACGTCGCTATGGCAACTGTGGTGGGACTAAGAACAATGCGTGCACTTGTCAGATTGTAATAGACACGTCTGAGGGAGAGGACTCATGAGTAGTTTTAATTGATTTCTAGTGTTGTGGTGGGTTTATCGCAATGTTTGTAGGGTAGTCGTGGAATTTTGGCACATTCGCTTGTTTGGCACATTCGCTATAGTTACATGTACGTTATGTCCATCATAATACTATTATTACAGCCTCTTCTCGAACGTGCTAATATTTCTTCTGAGGGAAGTCTTTCTTGAATTTCTCCTCCAAATGATCCTCCATCGCACCCGTCGGGTTGGATTTAAGGTCCTGGTTTGCAATTGTTAGCCATGAATATATATCAGAATGAATGAATGCTTCGTTTCCACAAACCTTGAGCTGGTCCTTGGCGGACTGTTCGGTGTTGGGCTTGTCACTGACGCCCTGTCCTGAGGAAGGAGCGGCCTTCTGGGAATCAGATTGCTTCTCCGCTGGAGGAGATTCGTGGCCTTGGTTTTGGGAAGACATTTTGTGTATTTGAGGTTTTGATAATGTGTGTGTGGTTACGTCGGATATGCTTTAGAAATTGTTAGCTTTATGGGAACGTACGAGCCCAAAGTTGAGGGGGTGAATCGGGCTCACTTTCGGGTTTTAGATGTTAGAGTTAAACTAAATTACAGCATTCACGAGGATTGGAATATATAAATGGTGGGTAAGAATCATATATCAAGTCTTATTCCTTCCACCCCACCATGACGCAAGACCCCCGCTACGTCATAACTATTTGGAACCAACGAGCAACCCCCAAGGTACATGTACGAAGTATAGATGCACTACAATGCATAAGTGAGTACAGGCACCATGACCCCTAGATCCAACAATCTATTGTTTGTTCACAGCTTCAACTCTTCCCAGATAATGTCCTAACTGAGCTCACATTTGTTGCCACGAAGCGCCCGTTGATTCCGAACGCCACAGAACGAGAAACAACCATGGCGCCAGACCTCAACTCTGTTCCCCCGTCACCGCGCCTAATCTCTCAACAATCACCCCGCGTTACAGGAACCCCCTCGTCTCGCCGTGCGTCGCAGCAGATGCCCTCGCCGCCAACCATTCCACTCTCACCACCTGTTCCTAACATCTTGCCTTCGAATACAAACGCGTTCATGGCTGCTTTTCAACCCGCTGGCGCGCAGGCGACAACCGCGTTTCCAACATTCACGACCGACAACACGGGCGTTGGAACTGGTCCGGGCCCCTTGAGACATCCTCGTCCACTCACAGCAGCGGATATACACCTCCAGTTAGAGAAAGAGCAAGAAGCAGTCGTAAGTCCTCAACCTCACTCCCCAACCTCACATCCCACGCAGAAACCCTCCCAAACTAACAAACCCCCCAGGTCAACCGACTAACCCGCGAACTCTCCCTCCTCCGCGCCGCCCAAAACGCGTCCGTCGTCTCCAACACTTCCTCAACCTCCGAGCGCGCCGGCCTCCCCGACGCCTCAGACCACCACTCCAATCACCTCCTCTCAGGCCCCTCCCACCCCCTCCCCTCCACCCGGCGCCACCACCGCTCCTCCTCCGCCGCCAGCGCGCGCAGCATCGCCGCTGCTTCCTCAGCCTCCACCACCGCGGGCGTAGCAGGCAGTCTGGCAAGCGTCTACGCGCCCTCCATCTCGGAGCGCACGCGTGGCACACTCCCGCGCCACGACTCAACGACCCAATCACTCAGTCTGAGTCGGCAGAACAGTATTACCAGTTCGCGGCGCTCTGGGGCTTCGTCGCCCGTCCCGCCTCTCACCTCGAGTAGCTCGTACCAGCATTCCGAGTTCTCGCACACGTACCCCCTCCGTCCCTCTTTCTCGTCGCTGCACCGTGAGTTGTCGGGTGGTCAGGTTCCGCAGCTTTCGGGCGTGGAGGGGCAGCCTATCACGTCTGTGCAGACGACGGGGCGGTATGAGGAGGCCGCGTATCATCGGCATGAGCTGGAGGCTGTGAAGAGGGAGAATGATGCGTTGAAGCAGAAGATTCGGGATTTGGAGAGGTTGGTTAGGGAGGGGAGACGGGCGAGGGAGGATGAGAGTCGCACGAGGAGTGAGAGTGTTAGTACGACTGCGAGTGTTATGAGGGGGAGGGATGAGGAGAGAGTTGTGGGGACGATCGAGGTGGATGATGTGAGGGTTGGAGAGAGTGCTAGTGGTGGGGGGTTGGCGTGAGTGTGGTGGATTTGAATGAGCGACGCGTTTAGGACTGGTGTTATTGCTTGATTCGGCAGGCGGGGGGTTTACGGAACCGGAGATCAACTGTTTTTGCTTTAGTCACTCGCAGTTTCGGCGGGGCGTTATAACAGGTTTATCTGAGCGAGTGAGCGAGAGAGATCGAGCGAGTTTGCAAAAGCTTCTTTCTCATAGTGAATATGACAACCATTGAGCTATTTAAAAATCCCTGGGACGCAGACCTCGTGATTACAATTCCTCTCCGTAGCAACACATAAAGTGCCTCTAAAGTGAGAAAGAATGCTCGCAGTCGAACCCACCACCACAAACGCACAAAGCGCTATGGCAGCAGAAAGCAAGCGAATTCGTTCAAAGAACACCCCCTGAACTTCACAAACGAGCAGCACACTCCTAAGAGTGGCCGCCGTTGTAAAATCTCTGCTGTGCCAATTAGCGTAATACCTTCCCAAAAGCACTGTCGAAATTAGCCATCTCGGTATCTGAGATCTGCGGTCGGCACAGGCTGCTTGATTGACCCGTCTGAGCGAGATCCCTAGATACCGCGTCAGTCACTGTTATTGCATCCACTTTTGAAGGAATGGGGAAAAAAAGGGAGAGAAACAAAAATCTGTCTATCGAATGTGAATGATGGGAGCAAGGCCAACAAGGCTATAGAGAGGTTTCTGAATGCTAAACTGTTGAGCTATCTCGCTCAGTTGGGTATCGTATGTATTCACGCGCCATACGCCTTAAGACAACCGCCGCCACCCATTTACCATGCTCGTGTGTTCCCGTCCGGAGTTCCCTGGGGTAATATACATCCCGTTCGTTGCAACGTCGTAGTCGTACACTTGTTCATCTTCGGTCGTGCTCTTTCTGCCAGATGCGCTCAAGGTGGTTGCGCTGGACCTCGAAGCTCGAGTAGTTTCCGCCGAGGATGACGCCGAGGACGCTCTGGCCTCTGCGCTCCTCGATGGATTTGGTGGCTAGATCGCTCATGTGCTTGAATAGGTCATCGAATGCGCGCGAGAAGGCCTTTCGGATGGCTTGGGTGTTGTGGGAGCCACCACTGATGTCATTCGATGGGTTGTTCGGGTCGATGATTGAGAATCTATCAAGGTTACCCGCACGGTAGACGATCTGTCTGGCATTATTCTGTGATGTGTTAGATTTATGTAGTAAAGGGTTGGAGTGATAGATGCTTGCCTTCGAAACATATGCAGGTGGCTTCAACTGAATTGCCGTGGTGGTGACATTGAATTCATTGCCATAAAGGTCAAAGAATTCCATGAGAATCTCGCCCAAGTGATGCTCTGGGATCATGTTTCCGCTTTGGATCTGAGGCATGTGCTGCAGTAAGCTGACAACCAGACATGTAACAGTGAACCCGCCAATGCCACCGTTCACAGGCTCGTTGAGGCCTCTCATAGCCAAAAACTGCTTGACAATAGTAACCAAAATGGGCATGGCAGGAAATGTATCCTTCCAATTCTGGAACGTTTTGTTTGCTATCAAGCCCGTGTCATTCTCAAAAGATACGTCTACCCTAAGGCCAGTGTAATAATCGATATACTTAACCAGAGGCACCTTGGCCTTGGAAATTACTTCAATAGAATATGGTGCTGCGATCTTCTCTCTGTCGAGGAAATCTCTGAAACGGAAAAGGGCGTTTTTGTTGGTATATTTGCCATAACCTCCATCCATGTAGCCGCGCGACACGAACACTAAGTCCATATCTGCAGTTGGTAGATAAAGCCCTGCAGGATATGAACCAAAAGGCAAGATGTCAGCATCGTGCCAAACCTTTTGAACGGCGCGGCGTAGATCGCTAATGAGTGCGCCACGCATGTTCTCTTCCACCTCCGCAGGTTTGAAACGATGGAAGAAGTCCATAATTTCCATGTGAAGCCTATATATGTTAGGGCTAGTACAAATCGTGACGAAGAGCTAGACGTACCATGAACCCATATTTGAAGAGGGATAGTGATTGGCAAGCCATGGCGTATCGTCAATCCCTGCTTTGGCTTTCCATTCCTTAACAATATTCCCAGTAGCGGGGCCTTTGGGGGTTGGCTTTGGTACGAGCGACGGCCCTTTGATTTTGTCGTCGTATGTGCGCTTCCTGTTGCCGAGATCCGGGTCTGTAGAGCTGTCTATAGCACGGGACTTTCCAGTTGGTGTAGTCACTTCTTGGGATTTTGCTACATCTCTAGGTCCCAAGACTTCTTCGCGGTGACTGTAAGTTCCATTTCGCGGTCCAGTTGGCGCGCCTGGAACTCCAACAACGCTTTCGTCATCAGACTCGTCCTCGTCAGCTCCCAAGTTATCATCGCCAAAATCAAATGAGATGAAGTCATCCGTCTCTGCAGTAGTCTTCGCTGCATCAGTAAGGCCGGCTGACACGCGTGCCTTCCTAATTAGTTTCACAACATCCTTCTTCTTGACACTTGATTCGTCTGGAGGTGGAAGGGCTGTATACGGGTCTGGATTTGACCATCTTGGAACGCTGTCGCCATCCGCAGAAGCCTTTACTTCGGTTCGAACCTGCTTTTTCTTGGGTTGCTCTTCTTCCTCGTCTTCGGGTTTGTAGTCTTCATCGTCCGAGACATCCATGTCTGCTTCTTCGCTATCTGACATGTCTTCGACAGCCAAGTACTTTGGTGCAGCCCCCTCGGTCTCATCCATACCCGGCATAAGTTCTGGAGTTGGTGCGCGGTTGGTCTGCAAGAAAGGTCTTTCCGCGGCCTTCTTGGAAAATCCTCCGCGACTGCGGTAGCCGCCACGTCCTCGTGCGCCTTGCCGGCTGGAGTCCTGTCGCGAGTCACGGTGGCGCGATCCTCGATCTTGGCCGTGTCGTCGCGTGGCTCCCGACGGACGATAGCTGTCGTGAGTGCGTGCTATGTCGATGGTCTCGGGCGCATCTCGTCTGAACGAGAAGCCCGACGATGGTGGCCTGTATAAATCGGCACCGCCCCTGGGAAACGATGGAGGGTCGCCTCTATATGCGCTTGTTCCAGGTGCACGGTTTTCGTCATGTCGATGATGGTCGGAGTCTCGAGGGCGATATGTGTCGTTGTTGCGATGCGACGAATCACCCCTTCCCTGGTTGTCGTAGCTCAGTTTCGGCGGGGGAGGGAGTGGACGATAGGAGTTGCTGCTACGCAGGTCGTACGCAGCAGTTACTGGTCGCGGTGGTAAACCAGCAGGTCTCGACATATTGTCGGTGGTTTGAGTAGTATTGAAGTGTTTTCGACGTCGGCTGTGTGCATGAAGAACAGGAGAGAGTGTGATGTGAGAGGTTGGTGGTTACCATTCGCGAAAAGATTGTTATCTTAGCGCAATCAGTGCGGGCGTGACCTGTGGGTGGGAAGCACGTGCACCACCGGTACGTGCTTGTCCACCACCGGTACGTGCAAACCAGCATGTGAGTTAAGGAACAAGGCCGAACTTACACAACTAGCCATTAATCACCACGACGAAAGCAGGGACCTTTATACCTACTGTATATGTTTACTGTGATCTGTGATACTTGTTTTGATCTCTGAACAACTTGGAAAGTGATATTCCAAGCATTTACTACCATCTAACCGCGTGTGTAAAGAAAGCCACCGGTATAAGTCGATTGCTGATGTCCGCCCTAATCGGCATGTGATAAAAATACTCGGCTTCTTCTCTAGCACTTCAAGACTGTATGTACTTATCAGCACCCACCTGCAAGCTTTCAACTTGTATCTATCGGAATTTCCGCAAGATCTCCTTCCTTGAATTGGGATAGTTCCTCGCTCGCGCCTTCCTTTTCTACGGCTTCTCTGTACTTCGACTACGCTGGTCCAGACAGGGTTCCAGTCGGGAATGACGACGTAAATGGCTGCTTTTGTAGGTCGTCGAACCTCCGCCCCTCACTGCGACACTGATATTGGAGGCTTTCTTTTCGTTTTATAGAGCTAATAATGTCTCCAGGATACGCCTTGGCTCGACCTGATGTCTTCCTCACCAGCTCCATCGGGCCGCGACGATGAGAGCATACAGCATGCGAACGACCAGCGACCGACGACAACCGCGGCATTCTCCCCAGTATCTCTGTCCCATGCATCTTCCGCAAACCGCCACAGGTCGACTATCCTCGTTCATCAGAAGTCACCACTGCTCATAGCGACGCCTCCTCAGATCACCAGAGCCCTTGCCTATTCACACGCGTTCCTTCTTCCGCTCAACAAGTTCGTGGGGTTGTTGACATGGACAACCAATGACTCGTGGGAGAGTTTCATACTCGTAGCCTTCTTTTGGGCAACAGTTCTATATGGAGACATCATATTACGATTTGCCGGGCCCGTAGTGGTTGTGCTGGGCCTTATTCTGGGGATGTACTCGCGACGATACTCACCTCTATCATCAACGGGCGTGACTGGAGAGAAGCAGAAGAAAGGGCATAAAAGAGAGGATTCAGAGGCTACGAATGTTAAGCATCAGAAGTCATTGGACGACATTGTTGAAACTCTCAAGGAGTACACAGCAAGATGCAATATGCTGCTTGATCCCCTTATACAGCTGACAGACTTCCTGTCTACTCAGCGGACAGCAACATCTGCGACAACTCGCCCAGCACTTACTACCCTTTTTATACGAATAATCCTCATTACTCCATTATGGCTTCTTCTTACTCTCCCGCCTCTACGAATCATCACCACCAAGCGTATTGCTCTGACAATAGGGACGCTTATCATTACCTGGCATTCAAAACCAACTCGGGTATCTCGAGAAATTTTATGGCGTTCATCCTTTATCCGCCGCGTATGCTCGGCAATCACAGGATTGCACTTTGCAGCCAGGAATGCACCGCCGAATCTCCCAGCTCGGGACAAGCATTCAAAGCCAAAGTTGCCGGGTCAGAAAAGTAACGACTATCACGAAGGGGCATCGCTCGCTGCTTCTGCTGCGAGTAAACGAAGGCCCAATGCTTCGGGTGTGAAGTTCACGTTTATTATTTACGAGAACCAGAGACGATGGGTTGGTCTGGGATGGACCACATCTCTGTTCGCATATGAGCGATCAAATTGGACTGATGAGCATCTAAACCCTGCGCCTTCAAAGGCCGAATTTGAGCTGCCTGATGTTGATGGAGGAAATGCTCGATGGAGATGGGTAAAAGGCAGTAAGTGGTTGGTTGAGGGCGCAGGTAACGGCGATGAAGGAGGGGCAAATGCGACATCTGAGACAAAAGGTGGAGGTAATGGGTGGATTTACTATGATAACAAGGTGTGTCTAAGTTGCAGCATTTTTGCAAGTAGTTTAACTAACCAACATAGTGGCAAAACGGTCGCCGAGGACAAGATGGCTGGAGCAAGTACACACGGAGGCGAAAGTGGTACCGCGACGCTGAGCTTGTGGAGGTGACGGCCAGTACAGAGATCACTCCTTGCTCCACGCCGCCGCCTGAGCTAGAGACAGAGATTAAAAGCAAGAGGCAGCGATCACGCTCTGAGACTGTTTCGTCTGTGAAGAGTGGAAGACCCCCTTCCGAGCTTACCCTCGATGACAGCTCAAGCCCTAAGAGTGCGGGGTTTAGGCCAGGTTATTTGAAGAGGACAAGCACTATTGGGAAGGGAACTGTGGACCTGGATGAGGGCGAGGCTTTGCCTGGACAGCTGCCGCACAGGGAAAGAGACGGGGACTGGGGTATCGGGGATGAAGTCAAGATGGGCTTGGAGTAGGGCCTGCATTTATCGCGGTATGAGAGCATTGCTTGCCATTGAGTGCAGTAGTTGCTGTTGAATTACCAGCTGTTTTAAACCAAACCGTAGGAACAACTTGACAAAGTTATAAATGTTCATTCAATATAAGGGTCGATTTACATGTGATAGTTACATATCCCAACGAAAATCATTTACCTTGGTTATCGCTGCGGGATTGCGCTCTGTGTACCATTCTAGATGCCTTGCTTTAGTTGATTGTAATATTCGGGATGCACAACGTAAGAAACAATTAAATACTGTGTGTGTTTCTATGTGCTTTTGCTGTTGTGCATTGATTTCATTTCCGGTCAAGTACGTAGCCGGTCCCAAAAGCCGAGGTTTCCCACGTGTCGCACGACCATTGAACAATGCGCTTTTCCACTTAGCAAGCAACAATCATCGCGATATATGAAACGAATAACTCTATAAGCTGCAGAGGCCGGCGGACTCTCTCTTGATATTTGGATGGTAAACAGCTTTATCAATGGCGACTCCCGACCTCGACTCTGGGAAACCGGGACGAGACCGACTGTCGGCCAAATCCACCACAGACCCAGTTCTCCGCAATACGCTACGATATACGATATCCGCAAAGGAGTACCAGGTTCTACATAAATATATCATATCGCGATCGAAAGTCCTGAAGCGGAATACGCCTACGGTGTCTCAAGTCGAGAAGCTCGTGGATAGACCTGGACGCGATGATCACAATGCCGCCGCAGTCCGCGCGAGTTTACGCGTTTTCCTGGCAACAGGAGCTGCGCTGAAGGCATGGGCTGTTATAAAGGAGACCCTGTTTAAGGGCAAAGCAGAGTATGCCGCCCCTCATCAAATAGAGAGCACAGAACTAACATTTCTCAGCACCGCGAAGACTACCCTCTGGCGCTCGCCAACCTTACGACTTTCCCTATCTCTATCATCCATCCTTCTCCTACATCGCCTGCTATTCCGCTTCTTCACACGCCTACGAGCGCACCTCCTCACTCCCGATGCACAGCCCTTCCGGCGGCGGAATCCGCGAACTTCGCAAACCCTTACATCCCGATTTGCACCTGCTGTCGGAGCTAGTTTGGCAGGCTTCATGTTAGGGGTATACCCTGGCGAGCAACTACGATTATCTCTAGCAATATACGTGCTTAGCCAAGCCGCGGAAGCCGCATATAATCTTGCAGAAGAGCAAGGCTGGATTTGGGGAAAGAAAGGGAGATGGGAGAGGCCGTGGTGGTTTGGCAGCTGGATGCTTATGCCGCTTGTATCCGGACAGCTGCTGCACGCCTTTGTTTTCGATAGGGATTGTTTCCCAGAGGCACTAAACGGCTTTATGATGAGGTTCTCGCCACCGTACATACAAGCGAGACCTGTGGATTACCCATCTAACCTTCCTTGGCCAGCACCAGGGGAGGTTGTCGATAGTCTCGCTGAAATGGGACGACTCCGTTTCCCGTAAGTCCCTGCTTGATCCTTCTATATTCACATACTGACACTTACTTTAAGGCCGTTCATTTCTCCTATTTTATTCCCTAATAAGAAGACGTTGCCTACCACACTCCAGTCAACGGCGCCAATTACAGACGTCGCCCACCCCTTAATCACCTCCCTTTCATGCGCCCTTCTCCATCCAAACGATCCGTCCTGCGCTAGGACATACCTCACCTCCTGGCTCCGGGCCTTCCCACGCTTCGCCCGACTCTTCGCGGTTGTCTTCGCTGTCTTCTCCCTCCCAAAGTACAAGTCATTTTACAACTCGCCCATTGCTTCTCTCGACCAGCTTGGCCGCTCAGTCCTCCGTACGTCAGCATTCGCGACGGGCTCCATTGGTACGGCCTGGGCAGCCATCTGTTTCTTCCAAAATTTCATGCCTTCAAAGGCACTTCCCACCCAGCGATTTTTCCTTGGTGGTTTCCTCGCAGGCCTGTGGAGCTTCCTGGAGAGGGAAACTGGAAGGGGTAACTTCTTGTACATGTCACGATTGAGCATGGATAGTGTGTGGAAGGTGGGTGTGAAGAGAGGATGGTGGAAGAGCTTGAAGGGAGGGGATGTGTGGCTATTCGTGGCGGCGTTGGCCGTTGTGAATGCAGTTTATACGAAGGATCATGATGCTATTAAGGGGGGAACAGTCAGGCGTGTCCTTGCTGGCCTCCGTGGAGAGAGCGCAGCTCTAAGGGGCATTGAGATTGATGCTGATGATGTTGATGAGGAGGATAAGAAAGAAAGGTGAAGGATTGGGATTCTGCCATGATATGAGAGCTGGCTAGGGTTGCGGGGCATTTTGGGGCGTTATCGGCTGTGTATAGCCCGGGGGCACTGTGCCTGTTATGATAGCTAGTGGTAATTTGTATATACAGTAGGACCCCTGTTATAGCGATGTAATTTTGACAACACTTGAATATCGTTATAATTGAAATATCGGTATACTAGAAACATGTGATTTAAATTGAATGACTACGTAAACCAACTATCTAGAGTACTCTGCTGCCTCGATGATATTACTAGGGCCTTAATATCAGTAGTAAGTCGTTCTAAGGCCCCGAGTACACAGGTGAGCAGACCATTAGGGGTTATCTCAGCTGACCCGAAATGCTCCACTTTTATGACTAAACCTTGCACGTTAGTCAGCTAAGCTCGCGTAGCATCACATGATATGGTCAGGTAGGGCTAAAAACGGTATATAATAGGGCCCTAATTTCCTACCAACGTAAAACCTGTAGGGCATGGCAACAACAACAGTAGTAATTCATTGCTAATGCATTATTCACAATGGATGAGATAATTTCACTACCTCAACTAAACCTATGGTCTAATACCATAGGTCTAGTTGAGGTAGTAATTGAAGACTACTATCAATACTAACAGTATTAGACCATACGGAGGTGTTGTTCATAAGTTTTGTGAGTGGGTCATGAGATGACCGGGGGTTGGGCATGGGTTGGAGCATGGGTACGCGTAGGCTTGTTTGTACCTTTTTAACGCGTCAAAATTCCTACTATTGTATTTTATATGTAGGAAATTCATACTCTTTCAATAACTACAATGCCTCATCTTACTCGCGATGAGCGGCTTCGTTGCGCACTACTACGCTCCCTAGATTGGGAGTTCCAAAAAATTGCAGCCTATATTGGCTGCACGGAACGGCAGGCTTGGTATGCTTGCCAGGGCCCTCCAACTCCGAAGAAGCGTTCGGGTAGGCCACTTATCCTATCCGATGAGCAAGTTCAAGAGGTTATTGAGTTTATAGCCTCATCTCGCACGAATAGGCGTATGCCATATACAAATATAATACGCATTCTTAATATTCCATGCTCACGGCTTGTCCTAACCCACACTCTGTCTGTGAGAGGCTATAATCAACGTAAGTATCCCTCTCTACTTTACTACTATATAGACTAATAATTATTAAGGGATTGCTATGCGGAAGCCTATTATCTCAGAGACAAATCGACAAAAGCAACTTGCATGGGCTATTGAACATAAGGATTGGGTACGGAATGATTGGAATAGGATACTTTGGACTGACGAGACGTGGGTAACGGGAGGCCGCCATACTCGTACGTGGGTTACTCGAAAAGCAGGGGAAATGTGGGATGATACATGTGTTGTAGATAGAGTACAATGGAGAAGGTAAGAGACTCCTATTTACTATAGGATTTACTAACAATCCCTAGAGGTTGGATGTTCTGGGGCTGCTTCTCAGGTGGTCTTGGAAAGGGTCCTATACTATTTTGGGAGAAGGAATATGAGAAAATAGGAGCTGAGTCCTATATGGCTCATACTGTCCCTCTAATCCACGGCTGGCTACGCCTACACCCAGGCCTTACATTGATGCAAGATGGAGCTCCAGGTCATAGAGCAGGTGCAACATATGAAGAGTTGAGATCCCGTGGTATTTGCCCTATAGAATGGCCCCCGTATTCACCAGATCTCAACCCAATTGAACGGGTGTGGCATATTATGAAGAATTATCTACAAGATAATCATCCAGAACATATGTCCTACGACCAGCTCCGTGTAGCTGTTAAGGAAGCGTGGGAGCAAGTTGGAGAAGCTGAGCTTAAGGCTCTCCTTAATAGTATGCCTACACGTATGGTAGCAGTAATTGCTGCAAATGGTATGCACACAGAGTACTAGGCTTATAGTATAGTTTTATATAGGGGTTTAGGTATCTACTCTACTCATTATTCTACAGAATTGATTGCTCTCACACTCAAGTGTTCGTGACGCGTGAGAATCGGTACTTTGGCCAGAATTGCCAAACCAGCCTACGCAGGGGGCCCTAGCCCGACCCACTCACAAAACTTATGAACAACACCTCCATACTGTTAGTATTGATAGTAGTCTTCAATTTGAGTATAAAAGATATCAGGAAGAACGACTTGCCACTGAAGAAGAAGAAGAGGTGGAGAAGGTAAGAGCCGCCTAATATATACTTAATACATTACTAATGCATTAAGATCAAAACAACCACAGTTATTTCAAGCGATTGTTAGTGACAAAGCAACCCGGGTAATAGAGCAATTTACATTTGCTGTAACGCTGCTCCATTTTGTAGCAGCCCCATAAAACTAGCTGTAGTAGGAAATATAAACCCTGATAGGCTTGGCATCATAATTGCCTAATTAGGATAGCGGCTGAAGACTTCGAATATTTCTTTATAAGTCTCTAAAACTAAGCTGTCTTCTTCTTTTAACCTAATGCTTTCTTTATCTTTAAATACCTTAGCTTTAGATGTTGCAATAATAATCTCTATAGGGTTCTTTAAGATTTAAAAAGTTATTAAGCATATAATAAGTAGAAGACCACCTAGTAGCATTATCTATAAATGTTAGTATTGTTATATAACTAAATAAGGATATAGATATTAGCTTACCTAGTTGTATTTTTTTAGGCCCTTGTAAGCCATGGTGATAAATTAGATAAATCTATTAAAGTTAGTATATTTAAATATTAAGGGGATATATAAACTTACTAATATCACTATCCTGCTCTATTAATATTTGCTCTTCTATTTCTGTTGAAATAGATATATTTTCATCCTTTAATAAGTTTAATAATATATCTTGTACTGCTATGTTAATAACATGAGCAATACAAGGTATATTACCATTAAATGTTTCTAATCCTAAATTAAGGTATTCTTCCTTTAATTTAGAAATTAGAATATTATTATTAGAGGCATTGTCTCTAGTAATACTATAATTAATTAGTAAATTATTAAATCTTAATAGAGGGGGTTTATATACCTTTGAATATGTTCAAAAATGTCAAATTCATCTAAAGTATCCTTTAAGACTTTAAATAAATAACTTCCTGTATGGTTTTCTTGTAAATTAACCATATCTAGTAATTTTGACTTTAATTCAAAGTTACTATTAATCCAATGACTATTAAAAGTTAATATAACGTACATGTATAGCGAAAGCGCCAAACAAGCGAAAGCGCCAAAATTATCTACCCTCACGACAAACATTGCGATAAATCTACCACAACATTAGAAATCAATTGAAACTACTCGGAGTCCTCTTCCTCAGAGGTGTCTATTACAATCTGACACGTGCGCGCATTGTGCCCAGTCTCACCACACTTGCCACAGCGACGGGCACGGGTTTCTTCCCTTGGCTTCCGACCACGGCTTGCCCTTATTTCCTGCTCTACCTGCTGCACAATATCCCTCTCATCCTGTAGCTCTTGCGCCCCTTGTTGACTAAGTGATCCTCCTTGCTGTAGTCGTGTTTTCCTAGCTCTCCGGCGCTTGCTTAGTACTTCATTTGCCTGTCGTAGGTTTTGGTTCTCTCCCTTTAGCAGTGCTAATTGATGCATTATTTGCGATGCACCCTTTGTAAACTGGTCAACAGCTGCATAGATTGAGGTTGGAGAGCTATTTTGATGGCGTGAAATCCGAGTTTTAATAAATGTAGACTGTGACATAGCTTCAATTGGGTTGTTTGGTGTCTGAGAAACCCAAGGTTGAGCAGTACCTGGGCGGGAGCTTGGAGGCGTTGGTGTCCTTAACTTAAGATCAAGTGTAGATATCACTCTCTCAGGGTCAAATGGAAGAAGCCCTGCCCCTCGGAACCCGCCTCGAATGTTACTTTCCGTCATTGTAGTGTTAAATGCAGCGTGGAAGGCAGGAAAGAAGTCATCCTTTGTAATATGAGAAATATGAGCCTGCATCATATCTTCAATTTGCCGACCATAGGCCTGCTTTAACGGGCCGAGACAGCCAACATCAAGTGGCTGGAGTAGATGAGAAGAGTGAGCAGGCATACAAAGCGTAATAATGTTGTGTTCCTTGCAGTACTCCTCAAACTCATCTGAGTGGTGGCTCTCATGACCATCAAGGACTAACAAGCGATAACCACCAACACTCCGGGCCTTTGTATGCTTCTCAAAGTGCTGAATCCAATCCATGCCTCTCTCGTTTGTAGTCCAGCCATTTTCAGTAACAGAAATCACCCAATCGCTTGAAAATCCACTATTCTCATACCAAGATGTAAGGTGGTTTTTGCCTGCAACAATGATAAATGGTGGTACTGCCCAACCTTGAGAACTAATGCCTTGGATTACTGTAACCCATTCCCGATTACCAGGCTGTACCTTCTTTGCTTTTGCCCGCCCGTCTGAGCTTGTTACAACCATAGCAGTTGAGATAACGCCCATCATAAACCCAGTCTCATCAAAGTTGTAGATATCTGCTTCATCGATACCATATTTCGCAATTGTGTTACGCACAAGCTCAAACCAGCCATTAATAACTTCTGGATCTTCGCACTTAGCCCTCTAGTAGTCGTATTTGCGCTGAAAGCGTGTCTGGAGCTCTACACGCCGCTTAACAAAGTTTGAAGCCCAACGCGACCCAACGCGTGACGCGTCGCGTGTTGCAAGTAGTCGACTTGCCATATCTTCAACAACAGACAGCCGAGGAGGAAACCCTTTGGCAGCTAGGTCGAGTATATACTGAACAAGGACGGACTCCTCTAGGTTAGTTAATTTCCGTGAGTTGGCTTGGATATCGCGTCGTGAAGGTACACCTTCTAGACGACGACCTAGCTTGCGGTGGTCCACAGAATAGATCCTAGCAGCAACTCGAAGGCGTAACTTTGGGTCGCTTTGCATAGCCTGGATAGCTAGCACTAATTGGCTTTCATCGTTTTTATGGGGCATGTTTTGTTGTTGAGGAATTTAACATTTAGTTGGGGGGTTTGGTCACCGCATCATTTTGGCGCTTTCGCTTGTTTGGCGCTTTCGCTATACATGTACGTTATATAAAACATTTTATATTTTGTCTATAAAGACTAGGAACTTCTTCATCTCTAAAAATAGTTAGTATAATAATATTATAAAAAAATAGAATAACTTACCCTTTTGAATAAATAAGTAATTATTTATAAGGTTTATTTGTAA